CTTTTTATCAAAGTAAAAACCAAAGATCTCACCTTATTGAAAACTGCCATAATGTGTCATTCTGGTGCTGAAATAGACGCAAAAGTGAAACCAGCATAAAAAAGAACAACAAAGAGGGGTTTTTTTTCCCAGTCTGACCACGATTTTAAATACAGTCATATTTATATTTATTTAAATAAAATTAAAATGTCTCTTTTGCTGCAAAGGGGAGAGAAAGACTGCAAGTTGTGGGCATAGCCGGCCTCCTCAGTCCAGCAGCTATGCCGTCATCTTGCCTTCCTTCGGGACCCACGAGGCGTGATCCGCGCGTGGACTTCAGTAATCCGGAGGTCGCGGGTTCGAACCCGAGTTGAGACAGGAATTYAAAAATTAAAATAATTGTTAGTTTCTCTGTTCGAATTGCGGAGTCAGCATTACGCCCTTCGTTTTGGTAAATCTATAGGCTAAAGCTTATTTCTCTGTCCTCCGTCTGCGGGTTAAAGGCGCTGGCACTGAATCTGTGGCACAGGAGGAGTGTTTTTAAAGGCGCTGACGTCAGCCTAATTGGTCAAGAAAGGACCGTTTTGAAAGAAAGGAGGGGAAAAAAGAGAGGAAGAAAGGACACCCACCAACACCTGTCTGTCAGGACCGAAATGTTCCCCAGGCAAATTCTGAGTAATCCTAACTGAAGCTGCTGCTCCTGAACATCCCACTCACTGCTTCCCCAGAACCTATACTGGTCTGAACACAAAACCATCAGACAAACAGGAGTTTCAGATCGGACTAGTTTATGAGTCATTGCTGTGATTCAAACCCCGTCTGGACCAAAAACTGAGACCACTCATCCATTTCTTTACAAAAAAAAAAAATCTGTTTGCCACTTTCTGGTACAATTTGTCTCTTCCTGAAAAAAAAAAAAAAAAAAGACTTAAACTTCTTCCACTTCCATGTCTTCATTAAATAAAATGACTTCAGTAAAATTTCATCTCTGAGCAAATACAGTAGACCTAAGTGTCAAACTCAAGGCTTGCAGGCCAAATGTGGTCCGCCACAACATTTTATGTGGCCCATGAGAGTTTTAAAGATGTATTAATTACGAGTACCAGTGTTTCTCAAGCCGAATACGAGTACTTCAGTTTGGGTACTCGCCAATACTGAGTATACCAAGTTAGAGCCTAAAAATTACACAAAGACTTTCAAAAACACATTTTTTTATTTAGAACCAGGTGGCTCTCCTTACTTATACATAAATAAAAATGACAAATAAGATTTTCTGTYGACTTGTATAAATTTCTTAAACATGGAACGGACAAACTTTTTATTTGAAATGTGAACAGTAACACGTCCAAAGAAATTTCGACACAATATTGAATCTGGTTTCGATATATAGATGATTTTTTTTCTGGCACCTCTTTCCATTGAGGACGTGGAAGATGTTTTCATATTTGGATTTATGATAATCGGATTCCTGCTGATCGGCTGTGGAGGAGTTCTGGTTTATCGGAAAATGAGAACGGCACTGACGGCGATTCGGTCCTGTGAGAAGCTGTCTGGGTGGGAGAGCTGAATCACAAACTTGATGTGGTTCTAACTAAGATCGCAGCCCAGCGGCGCGAGGATTGGGGGCAATGTCTGGGTGAAGTTCATACGGGAGAGACGAGATGGTAACTAATCTGGATTATTGGCATTTTCGCAACACAGAGGCACAGTTAAGACTTTAAAGCAGCGGAGAAAAGAAGTCTGCTGTTGCTCTAAAGAATTTATTCCTATCATTGGATCCCCACAGATGTGACCTTGGTCACAGGCTGATAAAACTCTCTGGATGATATGTGTGTGGGTGGAAGCCTTGGGTGGGTGGAGTCCGATGGATTTAAAATATAACGTGATTCACGCCAAAAATACTCATGTGGGCAAAATATCTGAATTGAGCATTGACCTGCAGTGTGATCGTAGCCTTAGAAATGGGATTATAATTTAAAAAAAAAAAAAAAAAATAATATAATGTATAACGTAGACTTAGAAAAAAAAAACAGGAAATAATAATAAAATCAAAACTTGACAAAGTTTTTAAAGGAGACCAATTATGGGTCCTAGAAATGTTTATGGTATGTCTGTGGGCTATCCAGACCATGTTCATTCAATTTAATGCACAAAATAATTCTCAGATAAAATTTCCCATTTTCTAGTTCTGCTTGCTCTGACTTCCGTTCAGAAGAGCTGTTTATGTTAATGAGCTCTGTTGGTAACGCCCTCCAAAAATCTGTTGACATTAACTCCGCCCTCCAAAGCCAGCGTTTACGTTAGCATGGCTAATAATAGCAGAAGCTCCGTTGTACAACCATAAGAGACCCAGAGGCAGAGGTCGTGGTCCCAGCTTCTTCTTTTTCTCTCCCTCCTCTGCTCTGCACTCACTCTGCATGCTGTTACCAGAGCAGGGAGCAGCAGAGGTCAAAATACCTCAGAAACTTGAACAAATAGTCTTTAACAAGGCTTTAATAAGCTGAACAATAGTGAAACATGAGAAAATGTGTTCATAACGAATGAAAATAAATAATGAAATAGTGTCCATGCCAGTCTCAAACCCTAGTCTCCCACTCCCTGGTCCAACACTCTACCCATTGCCCTGTTGGAGGCTTGTTGTAAAATGAGCTGCACATTACACATCAACACAGTGACGGCTTTTTATACTGAGGAGGTGGAGTCTCACCCGGGGGTTGCTAGGTAAGGGGCTGAACGCAGGTTCCGGTGGGTTGTCGTACGGCTTGTGACATCACAAAATGATGGAAGTATAAAAATTGTCATTAATATACATTAAAAATACATTTACTTACAG